AACCCCGCTTCCGCCCCTCGGTGCTCCGGGCATCTTGTAGCCCCTCCGCAGTATAAACTGAACCCCCGTTCCGCAGTCGGCCGTGATCCCCGGTGTCCGCCGGTGCCCGGATTCCCCGCAGTGAGCTTTTCAGAACCTTGTGCATTCAGTCTACTTTTCCCCGCTTTCCGCGCCTCGGAAAGCTAGACTTTCCGCTAATGAGCCGCCGCTTTCCTCAGCCTGCTTGTGTAGCGTCAGCTCCGCGTGCTTTCCGCATCAGCGCCGCGAGCATTCCGCATGCCCCCAAACAAACCGGCCAAAGCTTTGGCCCAAGCGCACTCTCACCACCACACCATATCGTCAGGTTGGCACAATCCAAGCTACTTTGTTCAACCACACAGCCCCTACCGGCCAAGCTCACCAAATATCAAGTCCTCATATTGCTGGGCCCAAACATGCAGCCACGGCTCAACGTCACTTTGCACTTGAACTCCAAGCTAGTTTCATCGCATGCAGCTCATTGTAATTACATCTCACCAGGGCGCAACCTGATTATCTCTAATTACCCGTCACAGTTTACCTTGGCATGTGCAGCAAATAAAATTTTGGCAGGTGAAGAAATTCTCATTCACTGCATCAAGGAGCTCACTACCATTCTGCGCCTCGGACTTGATGCCAAAGGAACTGCTGGAGAGCTAGCTAGTAGAATTATCTTATCATGTGCAATGTGTAATGCCATTAAACTCAAGGAAGATTTAGTCAAAATACCCTACGGCTGCTCAGTTTTATTGGCTGACTTTTTGGAGGCTTTGACCGGTAATCCAGCAAATAAATTGCAGCTCGGCCAAAACCTCCCCAAAAAACCTCCGGAAGAACTCTTGGAAAAAGGGATGGTTTTCTGGAACCATTTCACTCAAATCTATTAAACGCCGAACTCAAACGAACTGTTACACTTCCTTTATCAAGGGCTAGCCGTGCAATGCAAACCATTGCAGCCAGGTTTTGATCAACTATTCACTATCTATCTCAAAAAAGGTCCAGATCGTCACTTTCTGCGGTGTTCAAGTAAAGAATACCCCAACCAAGCCCAGCTTTGTTGCTGACAATCACAAATGGACCGCCAAATACTCTGGTGTCCACATCACAAAGGGCAATCCATATCTGGTGCTTTTCATGAGCCTGAAGACGGAAGGCAAAACTGTTCATTTACCCAAGGGAGATAAACTGCAAGCGTCCCAAGTATTCCATGGTTTGAAGAGCTTTGCCTTTCTTACTGAAGAAGTAGTCAAAGCCCTACAAGAAATGATAGATGTTGAACCAAACATACCATCACTTCATAAGGATGACGATGGAAAACAATACACCAACCTAATTAACCCATTGGTATATACTTGCCCCGAGGGCTAAAGCATCCAGATCGCAGCATATGATTAACCCATTGGTATTTACTTGTCCCCAGCGCTAAATCATCCCAATTTCAACGTATCAAGTAGCTAATTATCCAATCGTCCCCACCGTAAAATCATCCTAACCACAGCATATCATTAACCCATTGGCATTTACTTGTCTGGAAGCTGTCCACAGCACCAAATCATCACCATCCAAATGTATCAAGTTGCTTATTATTCAACTTATTAATTTATTGCTCTTTCACTCATGTGTGGAATTTTTTGCAAACCAAGTTATACCCTGTTTTTCCTTTTGCTAATTGAATTGTGAAACTGCAATGATAAAACTTCTTGAAACAAGGAAAGCTCATCATATCCGCATTGGATTGGGAGAAAACATGATGAATTCCTTCACATCTTGCTGACAAGTTGCACCAAGATCCACTTGCAATGAGATTGGAAAAGGTTTTATCAAGTTTAGGCTGAGTATTAGTTGATTCCCCATGGTGGGGAATGGATAGACAACACTTGATCCCAAAACTGTTTTCCATAATGTGGGAAATGGATGGGAAATAATTCCTTTTTGGGATAATTGTTTCCCTATTATTATCCCACCATGCAATGCTTCTTGCAACTCTCTCTTCTCTCAGCCTGAGAATTGAATTCCATTCAGCTTTACTTATCTTCAAGAGCTTTGTGTAGAACTCCCTAAGGTGTCTGGAATCTTCAACCCCTTGGGAACCATATTCAAACACCTCTCCTCTCAATTTTTCTATGAAAACTGGAAGCTTATAGACTTAGGTTCTAAACAGCTTTGAGAGGCTTGTAAGTGGCCATGGATATTTCTTCACTGCAACCCTCAGGCCAGATTGAAGATTTATTGCTGGATTCTGTTCTGTTCTGATCTGAAGTTGAAAACCTTAATCTAAAATGGTAATAGAGTTTTCTGCTGTGGCACTTATCTTTTGGGAGAAAGATTGATTCAAAATTCCTTTGTTGATTAGGTTCTTTCAAGATTTAGAAAAGGTTTGCCCCCATCTTTGTTACCTTTCATGGTGGTTTTCTGCAGACCTTGCCAGTGAAGAAACCAGCATTTTTCTAGTTGCCCAGATTGCAGAGGTAGAATTTGAAACACAATGCATGGTTGATCAAAAATAAATGTAAAAAATGTGTTTTCACCTTGAATAGACACCTATGGCCTTTTGTTGTAACTTTTGTAACCCCCTTTTTTATATAAAGTGTTATTTGTTCATTTCACATGCAGCTATTTTGGAAAGGGTTGTCCAGTTGTCTTGCTTTTTTTTGAAATTTTTGAAATTTTTCTTTGTAATGAACTACAGCCGAGGGGGTACAGCTGTCATCACTAGTTCAGTTCTGACAGGTCCAGTTCAGTAAATAAATAAAAAATAAAATAAATAAATAAATAAGAATTTGCGAGTCCAAGTGGACAAGACTTCCTTAAATAGCTGTATCACACTGCATATCTAATATTACTAGGTAACTTGTGGCTCTACTGAGACATACAAAGCACATGAGTCACTCACCAGGAACTGGGGGAAATTAAATTATGGCATATGTCATTACCAAGAACAATTATTTACACTTAACAATGAAACCTCAATTTCTAAAAGTAAGTACACATCTCATTGCAAAAAAGAAGCCTTAAAAATAAACACTCACTTTATCAAATATCAGAAATTGAAATCATTACACTGTGCAAAGAAATGGTCAGTGGGAAAGTCTTCCAATCCCGGACCATTTCAAAGTTTGTGGCAAATGCATTCAATATCATGAGTGCTAAGCCCAGGTTCCAACATGTTTGCATTCAGCTCACCATGAGTGCATGACAAATATGCTTCACAATTTTGCAAACTGCTCCTATTGTAAGAAGATGTTGTTTGGTAGAGAAATAAATCAAGTGATAGAGATATATGATTAATTAAAATCTCTTGGTGATTCCAACCAGAAGCTTTATTTACACATCATAGGACTATCATTTTTTTCTTTGTTCCTTGTGTTGGAAAAATTCTTCTGAATTTCTATTGATGATAGATTGAAAGGTCCAGAAACTTCAAGTACAGTGATTCAATATTTACACAAAAATAGAGACAATCATTGAAATCTAGAGTTAATCAATTTCTCTCAAAAGATCACTGCTATTTTTGTTTTTCCTTCTTGCTTCCCATCCAGTTAAAAAACTTTGAAATTCCCACGTATGATATCAAATTGATTGGTTCAAGAACAGTACACCATGAAAAATTTGAGGGCAGTACATGTCAGGTGACATGAAGCTAGCTCCTGCCTTTATTCCAGTGTTACTTCAAAGTCAAAGGGTTGGGACTCCCTGATGACCACAAAGGGTGAATTTTCATTTGAGCAGACAAGCACCAGAGTAACAATGGAGTTGTAACATATGTCACTTTATGTCACCTGACACCTACTGCCCTCAGATATTTCCTGGTAGTAGCAGGATTTAAAATTGAGCGTTTTGCATTTGAACTTGCTTAGAATCTCTTGAAATCCATTCCTTCTTATAAGATTACTAAAATTACTCACTCTTTGGGAGAATTTATCAACACATAAAACAACCAATTAGAAACTACTACATGTAATTTCTGCAGTGTTCACTTGACTGTGGAGATAAAATTCCAAGACAATTCACTGGATCTTCATGATCAAGTGCAAATAAGTAGTTGTAGAAATGAGATCTGAAACAAACTAGTCCTGCTTTGATGTAGAAGGCATGAAGACAGCCATGTCCAGAAAATTGATCACTCAACTTTTCTCTTTGCAGAAAAGGTCTTCTTTTAAGATGGATTGAGTGCTCTTTATCTGGAAAATTGTGTTCCTTTCCTCAATTGGAAGCTGTGCAATTGACTCAATCTGCTGTGCTTGCTGTGTCAGTGTTCGGTGCGGCGCATGATTTGCTTTTGGTTGGGTGTTCCCAGCTGAGGCTGCGGGCATCGACCACCCGATCATCCTCTCCGGAAAAACATGTCGAGCACCCACTTCCTACGATTACCACTACCATCAATCACCAAGCAAATCTTCTCAAGAAGGAGTCCCTCCAGCAAGTTCAACCTAAGCCCATTCTTGACTTGCAATCAACCTTCTCATTGGCCCTCAGCCTTCACCTCAAACCTTCATCTCCAACGATCACCTTCCATCTCTTTCACCGGCAATGCCAGACCGTCTGCATATTTGACATCTTACAATCAATGTTGCATAGCATTTTACAGATCAAACTCCAGTCTATCATCTAATCCAGAACTAGTTCTTTCACCACCAATTATCTCAAAACATCTGATCTTTATTGCCGGACCGGTCTTCACCATTGTGGATGTAGGAGGATTTACTTCATCTGATGATGATGAATCAATCAATCAACTCAATCTCCTTTCTCAGATTCCTTTCTAGTTTTTTCATTAGTTATTGTGTACATCAATTAAATGTACCCTTTTTTCAGATATTTTGATTTGTATGTGTGTTGTATCTCATGTTTTTTTGTTGGTTGGTTGGTTAGATGGTAAAAAAGGAACCAAATGGAAAGAAAGGATCATCATTTGAAGGGGTGAATTTTTCCTAGCTCAAAGTTTTCTGATATCTCCCTATGTAAATTACCTTGGAAAAATCTCTAGACTTTATCATTTCTAACTTCACATGTAACTTCCCCCACTTAAAAAACAAGAAAAGAAAAGAAAAAATAAAAAAAAGAAAAGAAAGTGAAGTTAACGCACAAAAAATTGAATACCTGCAAGCCCATGCCAATATTGTATTTTATTGGCCAATACAATATATTATTCAAAACCGGTACAATTTATCTGTTTGCCAATAAAATACATTTCTATTGTATTGGCAAACAGAGATAATATATTTATTAGGGGGTATCAAATATAGGAAATCCGCCATCAGAAACGAGTCACATTTCCAAAAACTTTTTTTTGCATAAATGGGCCCCAAAAGGGGTTAAATGGATAACCAACATGTTTAAAGAAGGGTGGATTTTTTCAAACCAGTCAATTAATTAATGGTGGATTTGGTTATATTTGATACTCCCTATTAAAGATACTTTTTATCTGGACAGCAATAAAATACCAAATATTGGGCAATAATTTATTTTATTTTTTCAGCGTTGATGACTCTGTGTTTCTCTAATTGTGCCATGTATTCTTTGTGCCTGACACTCTATAAGTGTCTTTTTCAACCTTTGTTTCTATAAGTTTCTTATTTCATCTTTGTTGGTGAATTTGTTTCTCTATTTATCTTTATTTACTTCTCATTTGATTGTTTGATCTGATATTCTAATATTTTTCTTTCTCAGTCTTACCAACAATTGGCTACTATGCTGCACTAAATGGCCCATCAAGGTTAGCATAGCTTCCCTCAAAACAGCACACCAAACCTGTATTTTTAGAGCGCTGATAGTGCCACTACACTACCCTGTGCTGCACTACAGTGATTTTGGAGGCAAAAAATGTCAAAAAACTGCTAAAACGTGTGGTAGCATATTTGAGTGGGACCTTTTTTGCTGCGTACACGCGTAGCCTTAGCACAGTTGTGGCAGAATTTTGTTGAGCTACGCTAAACATTAGCGGAATTTAGCTACACTATGCTGCACAATTGCTATTGTTTGCGTAGTGGGCCTATTGTTGGTCTGACTTGTGGGGATGAATGACTGCTACTTCTGCATAATCTATAGTCAGATGATAGATCTGGTTTTTGCAAATCCAGTTTTCCAGACCCCCCCGCCTGAATTACTAGCATTCTGTCAGAAACAAGGATACATGAATATTTAGGCCCTGTTTGGAAAACACCATTACATGGTATGAATTTTAAATTTTAGCATGGGATTGTCTATTATTGATGTATTTCAATACATATAAATCAAGCAATTTGGTACTGAAATTTAAAACTTATAATGTATAATGATGCATCCAAAAAGGGCCTTACACAGAGACAGAGTCAGACTCCATCTTGGGTCAACCTTATCAACACATTTCTCATCACACACAACCCCAAACTGATCATCCCAGTAAAAAAACTGAAATTGTCAATACTCTTGAATTGAAGATGAAAACCGTTGGATCAATTAATGGGATTATGAAGAAAAACATATGTGATGGTTTTATTAATGTCTCAATTTGCTTGTCCTGTGACTTCTTACTACTCAACTCTTACTTATATTTTTTTAACTAGTAATCAATGAAATCAAAATTAAGTATGCTGTATTGTCAGATCTTTCAACATAAACAGTTGTGGACAAGTTGTTTCAAAATACCAAACATGCTTGTCATATTTATCAGACAAATTAACATGAAACAAGTTTTGTGTCTTAACCTTTGTCTGCATACTCACACCAGCTTCAGAGGGTATGAAATCCTCAGAGTCCATCTGAAATTTATTAAAACATAGTCATCCATATCTCCACTTAATCATTTCATCAGACAAGTTTTAGAAAAGTCTCCACATTCACCCCTTGTTTGTGGAGGAGTATGTCTTTTACCTACAGCCTAAAACATGGTTTCATCTCTTGAACAGATTCTGTAGCTCTGTTAGAACTCAAGTGTGCTACTCTTTTTCAGTTTTGGATTTCAGATGTTTTAGATTCTTGGATGGAAAGGTGAAACCAGCTCTTCAGGACAGAATGCTACAGTCACCCTGTAAAGGTCACACCAGATGAAACCATTTGTGCTTAGGAGCTCAATTATGTAATTGATCATGAGTTTCAGAAATCAGTGGGGCCAAATGAGTCCATTTAAGAGGTGGGAAAAGTGAAAATTTTGGGATCCACCAGTTCCCCATAATTGAAATAAGTGCTTTCTGAGAAAAAAACCAAAGGCTTTTTTTGGCTCTTACTAGCTACTAGTATATTATTATCAGTATTCAGTGTGAAGCTTACACTTCATCTGAGCAAGTAAATATTTGGAATATATTCAAGTCCACATTTTGAAGGATGATCTTCTGGTTACCATCTATATACCTCATACTTGTTAGGCAATTTGTTTCTTGCTCTAGAATTGAATGAGTTCCTTCAAGCTGACATGGACATTTTACTCAGCATCTCATTGGGAATGGCTCGGGAATGGAACACCCAAACTTCAGTGTTGCAGCATACTCACATCCTTCCAGAAATTTCAGAAATAGAAATTATTCCACTGTGCAAAGAAATGGTCAGTGGGAAAGTCTTCCTATCCCGGACAATTGCAAAGTTTGTGGCAAATTAATTCAAGATCATGAACGCCGAGCCCAGGTTCCAACATGTTTGCATTCAGCTCACCATGAGTGCATGACAAATATGCTTGAAAATTTTGCAAACTGCCCCCATTGTATGAAGATGTTATTTGGTAACAAAATAAACCAAGTGATGGAGATACATGATATGGCAAAATCCATTTGTGATTCCAACAAGAAGCTTTATTTATACATCTTGGGACTATCAGTTTTTTCTTTGTTCCTTGTTTTGGAAAAATTCTTCTGAAATTATATTGTTGACAGATCCAAAGCTCCAGAAAATTAAAGTGCAGTGATTCAATTTTTATGCAAAAATAGAAACATTCATTGAAATCTAGAGTTAACCAATTTCTCTCAAAAGATCACTATTCACTGCTATGTTTGCCTTTCATCTTGCTTCCCATCCAGTTATAACCTGTGAAATTCCCACGTAAGATATCACATTGATTATAGTTTAAAATAGTAGCAAGATTCAAAATTGAGCTTTTTGCATCTGAACTTGCTTAGAATCTCTTGAAATCCATTCCTTCTTATAAGATTACTAAAATTACTCACTCTTTGGGAGAGTTTATCAGCACACAAAACAACCAATTAGGCTGGTTTGCTTCTGAAGTTCAAGGCAATTTTTAGCACATTTATTGATAAAGTTTTATGAATTTTGTCAAATCTCATGAATCAAATGTGAGATTTTTGACAAATTGTCAAATTTTAATGATAAATGTTATTAAATTTGCCTCAAAGCTCAGATGTGAACTGCCATATTGGAAACTATCTGAGGTGTTTACTTGACTGTGGAGATAAACTTCCAAGACGATTCATTGGATCTTCATGATCAAGTACAAATTAGTAGTTGAAAAAATGAGATCTGAAACAAACTAGTCCTGCTTTGATGTAGAAGGCAAGAAGACAGCTATGTCCAGGCAATTTAAATCAAGCCATGGGCTTTCCTGATCTTTTCAGGAAAGGGCTTCTTTCAAGCTGGATTGAGTGCTCTTTATCTGGAAATTGTGTTCCTTTCCTTAATGGGAAGCTGTGCAAATCTGCTGTGCTTGCTGCGTCAGTCCGGTGCGGCGCATGATTTGCTTTTGGTTGGTGGTGTTCCCAGCTGAGGCTGCGGGCATCGACCACCCAATCAACCTCTCCGGAAAAACATGTCGAGCACCCACTTCCTACGATTACCACTACCATCAATCACCAAGCAAATCTTCTCAAGAAGGAGTCTCTCCAGCAAGTTCAAACTAAGCCCATTCTCGACTTGCAATCAACCTTCTCATCGGCCCTCAGCCTTCACCTCAAACCTTCATCTCCAACGATCACCTTCCATCTCTTTCACCGGCAATGCCAGACCGTCTTCATATTCGACACCTTACGATCGATGTCGCATAGTATTTTCCAGATCGAACTCCAGTCTATCATCTAATCCAGAACTACTTCTTTCACCACCGATTATCTCGAAACATCTGATATTTATCGCCGGACTGGTCTTCACCATTGTGGTCGTAGGAGGATACACCCGGCTGACCGAATCAGGCTTATCGATCACCGAATGGAATCTAGTCAGTGGCATCCTCCCACCCTTGAACGCCGAAGACTGGGAGAAAGAATTTGCCAAGTACCGGGCGACGCCCGAATTCAAGCTATTGAATCATGCGATCGGCCTGGAGGAGTTCAAGAAGATATTCTTCTGGGAATGGGCCCATCGAATCATGGGCCGAGTCATCGGCCTAAGCTTCCTGCTACCGATCCCGATCTTTATCCGATATGGGTTGATCAGAACTAAGAAGACCGGATGGTCCTTGGCCGGCATCGGCGGGCTGATCGGCTTACAGGGTGGTCTAGGGTGGTACATGGTGCAGAGCGGCTTGGATCAGAAAGAACTCGATCAGAGAGACGGCGTTCCTCGGGTCTCTCAGTACCGCTTGGCCGCCCATCTTCTCATGGCTTTCACCGTTTATTCAGCATGCATCAGACTCGCTGGTGGGCTCTGGCGAGACTGGAAAGTGGCCGTCCTAGACCGTCCCCTCTTCCAGCACCTCAATCGTCACAAAATCTCTTCTGCACTCGAGTCGATTCAACTCTTGAACAATAAACTTCCCACTCGTGCTCGCTTCTTCATCGGCTCTCTTACTGGTCTCATCTTCCTAACCGCTGGCTCTGGTCAGTGTTGAATTTCTTTCAACTAGTAGAACTCAAAGAAGACCGTTCTATGATCACACATTTGATGACGGAAAAGGAAAAAATCTAACTCGTTCTTCGTTTTTTTTTTTTTGAATGCAATTAAAAATTGTACCACAGGTGCATTTGTTGCGGGTTTAGATGCAGGACTAGTGTACAACACCTTCCCCAAAATGGGCGACCGATGGATGCCACCGCAAGAAGAGTTATTCTCAGAGCTTTACACGAATCGGGGCAAGCAAGGCCCCCCAAATGGCGAAGGAGGAAGATCGATAGTCGACCTGAGTTGGATGCGGAACATCTTTGAGAATCCGACGACGGTTCAATTCAACCACCGGGTCCTGGGCACACTGACGTTCATCAGCAGTCTAAGCTGGGCGGTTTTTATCGAGAAGAACAAGCATCTCGTCCCTCGTTCGACCCTGAACCTCAGCAGACTCATCGCACTTGTTGCCTCTAATCAAGTCGGCCTTGGGATCGCTACCTTGGTCTACTTGGTCCCAACTAACCTCGCTCTCCTCCATCAGGCTAACTCCCTACTCCTGCTGTCCGTCAGTCTTTTCGCCGGACTCTCCCTCCGTCGACCTGGCGCTCTTGCCCTCAAATCTGTATATAAACATTCTCAAACTCTGCTTCATAAACCTAAAACCATCTGAGATATCCTCCTCCTTCTTCTTGCCCCCATTGTGATCACATCCCTTGATACCTTGTCAAGAAAATCAGCAGCAAAGTTGCTTAAACAAATGGCTAGTTCACATCTTTTTGTACAACAAACATACATACACTGGCCTCACTTCGAAATTAGACTTAGATTTTACTTGCCAACTTACTGCTTCGTTTGCATTTTGTTTTTCACCAAAAAAAACCCCCGCTTCATACCCTTTCTTCCTCTATTTGCTCCTTGATATTGCATATTCCATTCAAAACCCCTACTCAATTCTTAACTTCTAAACATAATGCATATACATACATCTCACATCTGTATTTTCTTTGAAATGCATGCACACTCTAGTTTTCCTTTGGGTTGTTTGTTCAGTTGTGACTTTTTTGATTGATTGGTCCATCCTTTAATCAATTCGATCACTAGCATGTTGATTTTTGTATCTTGGATGTGACCACATGACTTTTGCATTCGAATGACCCCAAGTAAACTAAAAAAACAAAGGCTGTGGTGGGTTGGTAAATGTGTCTGGACAATCTCACTTCATCTTATGCATGGAACTAAACGAGGTGTCATGATGAGCTCCAGCTTGGTAGTAGAGATTAGAGTGATGAACTAGAATTCTGCCATGGTTTGTATGTACCAATCAAACAAGATGTAATCTGACACTATGTGGCTCAGTTATTCAACAACAATGAGCTAAACCACCAGCCTTATACTTACTGGTCATAGTAGAGAGTTGAAGATGGATTTTTGGACTGCAATGAGGGCCCCACTCACCCAACTTGAGAAAAACCACATGAACAATGGTTAGGATGTCAGTGTTAGTCACTACAAGGTATGCTGAACTTGCACTCCTGCTGAAATCAATCAGTGATGGTTCAGTCTCCTGTTCTTCATGTCACTGGTTTTACCTTTTACTTATCAAAGTCCCGTCTAGTGTTTTTTGATACTCATCCAGGTGGAGTCTGGACAACCCAAATTCTTTCTCAAACATCAAGTTTATGGACATACATAAAATAGGGTTGGAGCTTGTGATGTTTTTGTTTTGGGAACCCGGCTGGGAGACGGTTGCCGGGTCTCGTATGAGCGCTGGATGGCTGTTAACTTCGCCTCGATAGACTCACTATCAACCAACTTTTGTGAGGCCTCCAAATAAACGAGAAATAAAACAGGCGTAACAAGTGAGCTCGTTTTGCCAATTGGCTGGATCGATCTCCTTTATCTAAGACACCCTTTGTTCTCATAAGTTGTTGCATCACAGATTGTGATGCATGTATCGGTGGCTTGAGTCTGATTTTTGACGCTCTTTGACTTTCTCATCATTGTTTGCGGAACTTGTTGATAACAGTCTTGAGGATGCACAGGGTGTTATATGCATATGGTCTTGCAAGCCCGTCTGGGCACAATCTCAAGTCCCGCGTGGCCGAGTGCCACCAGGGGTTTAGATTGTGCCCAGAGGGCTTGATCGGACAGGATGGGCGGGGGGCAGGACTTGGCACATAGCCAAGTCCCGCTGGGCCGATTTCAAGCCCTGGGCCGATTGGTAGCCTGTGCACCAGCCCGGCACTGGACCCCGGCTCAGCAGATGGCCTTCTCGGGGGCCGGCATGTTGGCGGGCGTGGCACCCTCGCTTGATTTCGGCCAAGCGAGGCTTTGTCCCGACCCCCGCCAACTTTAGCATGTGCCAAGCGGGGGTTGGGATGGTGCCACGCAGGCTTTGGGATCGGCCAAGTGGGCTTTGGGATTGGCCCAGCGCGCTTGGCCTTTTTTTGACCAAACTTTGGTGTGTGCCCAGACGGGCTTGCAACACCATATGTCGCTTTTACAACAGCGGATTGTTTAGCTTGACCGATTTATTTATGTGGTGCCTGGTACTTGAAGTAAATAGAATGGATCTCATATTTTTGGGAATCTCTTCGGGCTGTTATTATAATTCTTCTAGTGGCCTTGTCGGAGATCTCAATGCTCTTTGAAGTGTTAGGTAACTTAGCTAGCGGGGTTGGACTGGCTTAAATACATATTCTTTTTTTCTCCCTTTTTTGGATCAGCTAGCCGTTGATCAGCGCCCTTTATAAATGATTAATATCGGCAAGCCAACCTAATTAGGTTTCCTTTTGTTCTACTTTTTCGGCTGTTTTTCGTCGGTTTCAGGCGAAGGTATGTGTACTATGTGTTACTGAGGTTTCAGACTTAGAATATATTGGCCCAGTCCAGTTACCGACTCAGCCCATCCCCCCCATGTTCAGCCATTTCTGACTTTTGTCTGACTTGTCCCCTGTTGAACTTGAGCGACTCGCCAGGTTCTTAAAAATCCCCCGTGTCTCGCCCCCCTTCCATTCCCCCCCCTTTGCCTCTTCAAACCCAATCTCACTCCCCTTTCACTCCCCAGCCAGCTCCCTCCTATCCTCCTCCCATCCACCATCATCCTCATCCTCAACAACCCAACAACCCCTTGAGACACACAACCTCACCCCCCCTTATCTTCAAACTCGCATCCGTTCAACCCTCCAGCTATCCAAATCAACACTCACATTCATACTCTACTCCTATCGCGCGATCTGACCTGCTTGACTCTGTCTCTTCTGTATTCCTATCATTATCACCATCTTCATCATCTGATCTATTTATTTACTT